CTGAGAGTGTTAGCTAGCTGAGAGCGTTAGCTAGCTGAGAGCGTTAGTTAGCTGAGAGTGGCCTGTGTGTTAACTAGCTGAGAACGTTAGCTAGCGGTGTGTTCGCCCCTTCACGTTTGACGCTGGGAGGCCCGGGGCCTCTTACCGCACGCCTGTTTCCAGGTCACCGCTAACTGAGAGCATTAGCTAGCTGAGAGTGTTAGCTAGCTGAGAGCGTCAGCTAGCTGAGAGCGTTAGCTAGCTGAGAGTGTTAGCTAGCTGAGAGCGTTAGCTAGCTGAGAGTGGCCGGTGTGTTCGCCCCTTCACGTTTGACGCTGGGAGGCCCGGGGCCTCTTACCAAACGCCTGTTTCCAGGTCACCGCTAATCCCCTCCAAGCTTCTTTTCTCCTCCTTATCCATCTTACCGCTCACATCCCCGCCGCTCTCACAGCCAAGTTGTCCACCGGTTTATTCCCCACAACTCTGATTTCCCACGCCCCCCCCCCCGGGGTCCGGAGGTGGAGCTGGAATACAGGATTTTTTTTTAAAAAGAGTTAAAAATCCCACCGGTTTCCCCGAGCTAACTCGGCTCAAAGGTGAGGCTGAGCGGGGAAAGGTGGAGGAGGGGATGGAGGTCTGAGCTGCTGCAGTTTGGAAGGGAAGCTGCAGGTAAACCTGCAGGGATCCGCGATCCGGTCGCCACGACAACGGATGAGGCTCCCCAGAAAACACCCCCATGCCCGGTCCGGCTCCCGGCGGGTTCCAGGTAGGCCGAACCGGGATAAAGAAGGCGGTGACCTGTGGTCTGTGATAGAACCAGAACTCTGCAAAAACCGAGACAAGCTGCTCTATTTGCAGAGTTTTACCTCTAAAATCGTACTCTAACGAGCCAGTTTTGGATTGTCTGAAACATCTACATAATCTTTTGCCCCAGTATGATAGACGTGGTCTGCCTCTGTCACCTCGCTAACTTTAAAGTAGATTTGGAAGGCCGGTGTGGAATATTAACATATATTTTCTATGTTATACAAAACAAAAAACTCAATAAAATTCGCATTATAAAAAAATGAATTGTCTACCATAGT